TTTTTCAAACCTAGTTGAATTTTCAAAAAATATATCCATAAAATATAGAGATACTTCGCTACACGAAAAATAAAAAATTATACAATCATATAGAAGTTTTTTACATCTAAAATTCCAAGTCAATCCCAAAATATTAATGCATACAAAAAAGAGTTTCAAGTCTCACTTCAAGAGAGTAAGGATTATATTTTATGAAAATGTATTTTGAAATAATATTTTAATAGAGAATGTATGATTAAAAACTTAGGAATTATATGCAAACCATTCCGTAACTGTTTTATTTACAAACATTAAAATTTGAAGTATTCAATGACCAAAAACATTAATATTAGTGCATGCTTAAAACATGAAGCTGTGAAAGAATGCAGAATGATTTGCAGATAATCAATTCAGAGCAAAGTAGTGCAGTACATTCTGGAAATGATTACAGATCTTATATGATAAAACTAAAGGGAAGTCGAAACTATATGAAGAAACACAGTTTAATGGAGTGAAGCATAACTAAATACAAACTGGTTTTTGCTGGATAGAATGTGTGTGGAGAAAGAGGAAGAACGCGATTTTGGAGAGAGGAAGAACGTATTTCTTGATAAATCTAAGAACATTTTCAAGAGACTCTATTTTCAAAGAGCACATTTTGCAATTTAGAGAGTATCTATAAATTTAGACAGTAAAAATTTTTAAGTACTCCAACATGCTGTTTATATTTTACACTTAATTTTATTACTTTCAAAAAAATATTTATTTTTTCCCTATATTTTATTTTCATTAGCTTTTTTTTCAAGTTATTATATTATTATTTTCTATTGGAAATTAAAATATTTTGAATTCATTTAATTATATAGAGTGAGTTTGATTCTCCAATCTGAATTATCTGATAATCATATTATTTTCAAGATTATAGTCTTTTCAAGTTGTTATATTATTTTCAAGATTCATAATTACAAGATGCAATAGTATGAGTTACAAAAATGAAGTAACAAGCAGTATAAGAGCATTTTTAGTAAACTCGTTATTTATAAAGAACATCTTATTTACTATAAAAAGTGTCTTTAAATTTAGAAAGTCAAAATTCTTATTCACTTTTAAAAAAATTATGATTTAAGAGACTCTTTAAATTAATATTTAAATTTAGAGATTGAGCTCGACTTGCTAAATTTGGCAAGTCAAACTCACTCTTTATAAATAAATACATTCAAAGTATTTCAATTAGTTTTATGAGGTGGGAGAAAATCATATGTACATGCTTTTTCCTTTTTTTTCAACTTTCAATGAAATGTTGCCAAGTGTCATCTATAAGATAAAATGGTGTGAACAAATTATGTACGTGCAGCATTGATCGGAGGGGACGGAGGGGGGTATTCAACTTGCAGAGATTA